CTCACTCTCTGTTCTCAGCATCGTTATCTACCAAGTGCTGACACTTCATAAGGCTTTTGTGAGGATAAAAGGATATTAAGGTGTGAGGAAGCCTTTAGAAAAAAAAAGGCAGAAAGCAATATGCAAATATTAGGGGTGAATATTATCTGGACATGGGTCAGTACTGGTCCTGGGCTCTAGAGGAGATGCATTCCATCATTGGTGACCAGAGTGGTTCTGCATCAACCCCACTTCCAAGGCTCCTGCCTGAAAGATGAAAGCTTCAGGAGACAGTCAGCTGTCTGCTTAGTACGTGCTCCATGATGTTCCCAAGGGGCCTTGGGTTAATCCAACAGAAATGTTTCGTCCTTTTATCCTCAAGTTCCTGCCATAGTCTGGGACTATTCTACACCATCAACTGCAGATTCTGTGTGTACATAAGCATATGCCTGTGTATATGTAGAAAAAGAGAAAGATCTCAGTGTTATACGTATTTGCATATGTGAATTCTCTGTTTTACTGTAACTGAATGGGGAGAAAAGTTCCACCCCGAGGGAACCAACCCCTAAATGTCAGAAGTCAGCAATGACCACAGTGATGTCTTTTCTAAAGTGCTTTCTCTTCTCTCTTCCCTCCTCCCTCCTCCCTCCTCCCTCTTTCATCCTTCATGCAGTCCTCTCTCTCCTCTGTGTATGCAGCCAGAAGCTCCGTTGAGGTGCTGGGTGAGCACCTACATTGTGGGAGAACAGTGTCCTTGGAATATCAATAAAAAGAATGCCATAATAGTAAGAAACATAAAAATAATAATTATATATTCAGTTTGCATAGCAAGTAATGGTTTACAAGGCAATTTGCATACATAATCTCACATCAACAAAGCCCAGGCCTCTGTTCTTCCACTCACTAACTGAGGATTTGGCACTTCTTTCCTTGGCAGTATTACAAATGATATTCTTGTCTCCTTGTAGGGTTCCACCTACAGGTTTTCTTCAGCTGTGAGTTTTCATACTGAGGTCATTACCACCTGTGGCCTTTGGATCTGGATCTAGAAAGAGAAGGCATCTATGTGGGTGCTAGGCTACTGGAAGATGTTGAGGCTAGAGAGAGGTAAGGGCAGCAGAGATGCTAGAGATTAGGGAAGATTCCTCCCATTGACCCTGCGGTGGCCATTGATATAATGGTGAGATCTGAACCAGTGAAATAATCAGATATGTCTCAGAATAACTTGGTATGTTTCACCTATCTACCTCGATGGGTATCAGAATTTCCTGAAAAGTCTCCAGGTAGGAGGCAAGTCAGTGCAAGGATTTTCATGTGTAATTGAGAAAGACTTCTGGGACAGGAGGAGCACTGAGCAGATTTGAAGACTCCAAGAACAGGATGTGATATAGAGAGTTGAGGAGGTGTTTTGTTTAACCTTGACCCACCTGCCACCCTAGGAGGACAGAAAGTATATTATATGCTTTCTTCCCTATGTTCTCCACCCCACCCCACACCCATTTATCCCCCAGATTAAATTATATAACAAGGAATGACAAAAGCAACCTTGGAGAGACAGATACAATGCAACCTGAGGAGCTTAGCATGTGGCTATGGGGATATGGAGAGAGGTTGGTCCTACCTCTTAACCATGGTGATATGAGGGTATCACGAAACAATAATGTGCATCAGATCTTGGGGCACCAAATATGGAAGCCACCTTCTGTCCAGCTTTTTTGAGTAATTGTCAAATGCCAGAAGCATGGGGTCCATTAGTGCTCAGGGCCAAGAGTTACTGCCCCAGTTTTCCAAAGCCTAGGGACAGTTCTGCATTTCCTGAAAAGTCTGTGTCAGGGAATTTGGGACTAGAGAAATGCTTTTGCTTACCTTCTTTTCAGGGTCAATGTGATCTAAGGAGGGCTGGAAATTACTGTAGGTGGAATCCATGTAAAGAGAATCTTCTGGTTCTAGAGGGAGGGAGAACAGAGAGGAAGGTGGCGTGGTTGGGAAGGTAGACTTTTATTTCACATTTTCTCTTCCCCCAACCTGCTCAGTGCTTTGCACTACCACTTTCTTGCTGTCTTGGAAGCTGTGTGGGGCCCAGCGTTTTAGAATGGGGAACTGCCTTTCCTCCCTCAAAGTCCTCTGACATTCCTTACAAGTGCCTCCCTGTAGCCACTAAGAACCCAAAGAAGGCTGCTGTACCTTCACAGATGTCAAAGCCTGTATTCTGAAAGCTCCCAGGAGCTGGTCCTCCATCCTCTTCATGCCATTTATACACTTGATCCAGCCTGGCCTTCTGCCTGTTGACAAAAATGCCAGAGTGACCCCCCACCCCTATCCGAACTGAGGGCTCAGCACAATGCCCATAACATTCAGACGAGCTACGTTTTGGGGAGATGGCCTGAAGAGCATCCAGTCTATCTGTGACTTCCTTCAGATCATCTTTCCTCCCAACCCTCAATGGCCATCCTGAAGATATGAAGAATTACAAAGGCCAAAGATTACAACCTGGAATGTAAGAAGGAGAGGTAGACAGAAAAACCTGGAAAGACCTACATGGTCTGATGCTGAGTGAAGTGAGCAGAACCCAGAGGACTTTGTACACAATAACAGCCACGTTATGCAATGACTAGGATTGTTAAACTGAACCCTTCTCAGCATTACAAGCATGTAAGACATCTCCAGAGGCCTTGGGATGGAAAATGCTGTCCACATGCAACGAAAGACCTGTGGAAGTCGAATTGCTATTACTTATTTTTACTTTCTGTTGAGTTTTGTTTCATCTTTCTGATGGTTCCTCCTATTGGTTTTAATATTTACTTACAACGTCACTAATGTGAAAATATGTTCAATAGGAATGTAAATGTAAAACCTATATCAGATTGTTCGCCGTGTTGGGGAGGGGGGGGGGAGGAAGGGGGAGAAAAATTTTCAACTCAAAAGCATATGGAAGTGATTGTTGATAAATCAATAAATTAATCTAAAAAAACCAACCAACAAGTAGAGGTAGAGATGGCTCACCTTTGGATCTTCCTCCGGGACATGTACATGAAGACAGAGAGGGCAACGATGGTGAGCACCAGCACTGCCCCTAAGGTGCCCACTAACCCATACACCAGGTTCTTACTGGTGCTGAAGTCACAGGTTTCTCCCCAGTACCAGTGTGTATCTGTTGTGAAACAGCTGTTGAATGATAGTAAAGGTAGGAGAGAAAGAAGATTTTAGTCAAGATCATGGACACTTTCTTCTAACTCTACCCAATCTCCAGCACTGGCCCTTTGATCCCATGGAGAAAGGACTGTGAAGAGGGTAAAGATGTGTGCAGGTTGTAGGAACTAGGATATAGGAGATAGGGGTCTGGTCAAGGGGCCCCAGGAGAAGGAAATGTGAGCTGGATGGGGATGGAGTCCAGCTTCAAGGAAAATGGGCCTAGAACTATCTGGGAGCTATGATTTTGTGTGTTAGGGTATGACTACTTGTGATACAGGAGGGTTCCGAAGCTAATGCAGTAGTTTACAGCTTAACCCAATGCACAGGACTTATTGATCATAGAGATGAGAAAAGAGGCTTAGACAGGTTAAATGTGTACTCAGAGCCACTCAAAAAGGTCATAGTAGACTCAAAACTGAATTCGTATAATCTAATTCCAGCTCCAGGGGTATTTCTGCATGCACATGGATGCCCAAAATGAGGGAGAGCACTTAGGAATGACCGGACACCTTAGAGGCATTGCTTGGCCTCCAAGAGGTGTCATGTGATTCTCTTGCCCTCCCTCTTGTAAACACAATCAGGTCAGCAACCACAGTATAAAGGCCAGTTTTGGAATACTAACCTAGAAGTTCTGTGTACTTTTGACTTAATCTGTCTATAAGTCTATAGTCTATAAGCAACCTCAGAATGGGAGAGAAGCTAGTGCCTTCATAATGATTATCCACCTCTGCTTCCCCAGGTCAGGTATGCTGCCCCGTGAGTGTTGTAACAGTGTTTCCTGTTCCAGAGTTTGTTCCCTGTCAGCTCCATGTGCAAGGGTGAGGGTAGGGAATTGCTCCAACTGAAGTGTACCCATAGTCCTCATCACATGTTAAGAATTCATCACTAATCACTCTTTCAACCTCTAACTCATCTTCAGATACCCCAGCACGATGTATCCAGACAAAACTCTATTTTCATTTTTCCCATGTATCTACCACCACATGAGGGACACCCTCCCCAACCCTCTACATCAATCCTGCTCTTCCCCTCTTCAAATCTGCTCAGTGCTCCTTCCCTTCCCAGAAGTCTTCTTCAGTTACACATGCTAGTCCTTCCATTGACTTGCCCCTGCCTGGGGTCTTTTCAGGAAAGATGCAGTCAGGGGCATTGTGAGGCTCAAATAAGATAATGGATGTAGAGCACTTCACAAACCCCAAAGCACCATCTAAATGCCTTAATAGTATTATTGGTTTCCAGGCTGGGATGCCTTCTTTCCCTGAGCCTTCTACTGCCCTCTTGCTGAGTTCAAACAGTGTTTATAGAGCAATACTAAAGTGCACTGGGAAATGAGTTTAACAACTTGGCTGTCTGGGTGGAAAAGTATGCACACACACACTTAAGTTAAATCTGCATTATTAGCACTTTCTTCAGTCTAGAGAACCCACAAAACAAGAAATCAAGCCCTAATTTGTATGTGGCATTGCCATTTCTGAGGTATGATTGCTCACACTGAAAACTGGAGCAAGTTACACCAGTTTGAGCTGGCTCCTGGCACACCCCTGGCAGCAACTGATAATTTCTTTGCTTTTATGTTAGGATGATTTGGGTTTTGTGCTTTTTTCTTCTTTGTGTGGGTGTGTGCTCCTTCACATTTGGATGGTGGCTACCATATTCCTTCCATTCAGACTGGGAGCTCTCCAAGAGCTGTCCAAGAGAGTGAACATGGTTTTCTTTGTCAGCTCCCTGAGGGCAGGGGCCAAGTCAGATGGCAGGCAGTGAGAGGGCACTCTTACCAGTAAGAGGCTAGGATTGTTATAGATGTGACCACAGGGTTTAAGCCTGCCTAGATCAAGACCTGCTCCTCTGGAGGGATAGGGGGAAATGTGGTTCGGGGATGCAGTCCGGGGAGGGCCCAGATGGGCCTAGGAGAAGGAAGGAGGCTATTAGGAGGGCCTGGGAACTCACAAGCATCGAGGCCCTATCCGAGACCCACTCTGCTGGAACAGACACTTTCCCTGGTTGCAGTCCAGTGATGAGTTGAAGCCTTGCATGCATCTGTTAATACACTCTGGTGTTTCGTCCTTGTAGTCAATGTAGAAGAATTCCTTAAATTCTCCAGCAGTCTCTTGGCATTCCACTAAGGGAGAAAGTCAAGGGAATAAATAGTACAAAGGAAGAACTCTTCACCCAGGGTGGGCTCCAGAGCTTACCCCAACCCCTGCCCCACTTCTGCTTTAGGTTTACATACCCAGAGGATCATAGGAAACTATAAGCTCATCCACTGATGTCTCGTTGGGGTTGAAACATAATATTTCTGTGAAAGAGTAAAACCAAGAGTAAATCTCCCCTTGTCTCAGGGCTTTTCTGTTGAAGGCTTCCTCTCCAAGAGTGGGGGATAAGCCAGACCCTCAGGCTTCAGATACTCAGCCCTTTGAAATTCTTTCCTTCCCTGAATTTTTTCCCATTTCCATTTCTATTTCCATTTCCAGTTGTGCTCAGAAGCATTTTTTCCTGCTTAGTGAGCTCCACCAGCCTTTTTCCACAAGCCCACCTCATCGTGGCACTGTGGCTACCGAGAGTCTCCTGCAAGAAGCTGGTTTTTTGATAGTTGGGCTATAATATCTCTGAATCTACACCTTTTCTTTATCTTAAGGGGAGCTTAGCATAGAGTTTTGGGCCTCAAGTTAGGAAGTCCTGGGCTTAACTCTTGACTCAGATGCTTACTAGCTGTCTGATCCTGGGCAAGTCACTTACTCTCTGCCTCAGTTTCCTCATCTGTAAAGTGGGGTAATGATAGCACCTGCCTCCCAGGGTTATTGTGAGGATCAAATGAAATATTTGTAATGTGCTTAGCACAGTGCGTGGCATATGATAGGTGCCTAATAAATGCTTGTTCCTTCCTTCCCACATTTCTGATTGTCATTTCCTCAAAGTAGGTGAGCCCCGATTTGGGTAAGACCTCTCCAGTTGGGACTTTATCTGCCTTGGGTTCTGTCGTCTTACCCCTTCTCCCTCAGATGAGAGAGAGAGAGGCAGGGTCATGCAAAAGTGATAGTTTGAGACAATGAGCTCCCTGCAAGATCTCTTCCTTCCTTGTGTCTCAGGAGATTCAATACAATTTAACAGACATTTATTAATTGCCTACTGTGTACAAAAGGATAGATGATATGGTAGAAAGGCTAAAGGACTGAGGTGGGAGTTAGGAAGACCTGGGTTCAAATCCAGCCATACTTGATGTGAGGCCACAAGCAAGTCACTTAACTTCTCAGTGGCCGAGGCAAGTCTAAGACTTTATCACAAAGGAGATGAGAATCTGTATTGGTGGAGTTAGGTTCCACACTGGAAGTTCCCTGACACTGATGAAATCCTAGGTCTGCACCCAAAAGAAAATGGGAAGAACATTGAGCTGAGGTGCTGGGGAAGATGCCACCCTCCTGGAATTTACAGTGGTAGAAAAATAAAAACACAGAGATATGGCAAACACTTAATTTGTGATAGCCCGTTATTAGAGAGGCCTTATGTCTTCAAGGCCTGAGGTGGGGGGTAGGAGGGGGAGAGGTGGTTAGGTACAAGGAACCCAAGGGCAGGTTTTCCCAGGGAAGTGGCTTTTGAATTGGCTTTTAAAGGAGGGGTAAAAATTCACCAAATACAAAGGGAGAGGGAAGACATCACAGACACGGGGACTGACCCTGGGGGAACAAAGGCAAGTGTAGAGGCAGTTTATGCATCGTGTATGTAGAGGGAGGTAATAAGAGAAAAACTTGAGCAGGGGTGAGATGGGGCACTTACCTGTGCAGTTTGTGTCTCCTTGCTCAATGATTACTGTTGTAATTGTTTCCTCTACCTTCTTTGCACTAGTCTCCAATTCTGTCATGTAATCTGGGGTGAAACTTGTTGACAGGATCACATCATACTCCACCAGTATACTGCCATTTCTGAGAAGAGAAGAGACAAGGTCATCTCATGATCTTCTCAATGCCTGAGTAGGGTTGGTAACCAGGCCAACCTAACAACCACATTGAATGTCTACTCTTAACAAACCCTCTTCCCTCTAGAGGAAACTCCCTTCATGGAGATAGGGGACAACCTGGAACATCCTTTATCCAGGTGTCATTCAGAATTCAGACTCATAGCCACACCTTTCTTGGCCTTCCTCATCCTCCACTCCTCATTCTCACTTACCCCAGTTGCCAAATGTTGTTGTTTCTTTTTCTCCAGCATCTCTTTGGTATACCCCTTCACTCTCGTAATACAGCCACGGCCTGAGCTCAGACCTTTATCACCTCTAGCCTAGACTATTGCAATAGCCTTCTAACTGGTCTCCTTGCTTCACATCTCTCCCCATTCCAATCCATTCTCCACAGAACTGTCAGAATGATTTGCCTAAAATAAAATTCTGACCATGTCACCTCCCTACACGATAAACTGTAGTGACTCTATTTAACCCTAGAATGAAATAATGAATTCGTGTTTGGCATTTAAAGGTCATTACAACCTGATCCTTCCTATCTTTCTAGTCTTCTTACACGTTGCTTCTACTTTTTACATCATGTATACGAATGTACGTGAACTGCACATTCCAACCATGTACAGGCCTTCTTGCTGTTCCTTAAACACACACTCCATCTCCCATGAATAGGACTTTGCTCTGCTGTCCCCGGTGCCTAGAATGCTCCTCTGCTTCATCTCTTCCTCTTAGAATCCCTGTTTTCCTTCAAAACTCAAACACTACCTTCTGTTGGAGGCATCCCCTGTTCTCCCTTCTCTCTCATGCATCTTCAGCTGCTAGTGATTTCTTCTCCAAGGTTACCTTGGTCTACTCTTACATTTATCTTAGATTTACGTATTGCTCTAGATGTTGTAGAAGCCCACGAGAAGGCAGGGGCTATTGTGCTTTTTCTTTGTATTCTCAGCAAGCACAGTGTGGTCTTGTTGACTGATTGATTTATCCTTGAAGGATGTTGAGGTGAGGAAGGTGAATACTCCCGACTAATAGGGCACCCATACCATCTAACTTCCCACTCTACATGGCTCTGGTTCTCCAAAGATGGCAGAGACTTACGAAAGCTTCTTGATCTCCACACCAACATAGTGAGAGACGTTTTGGAAAATGGTATCCATCTGAAAGGCAAAGAGGTCACTGGGTTATCTAAATAGTCAAAATCATGGTATTCTTTAGCCCCACTCCCTTTCTGTCACTCCCCCTCTCTAAAATAGCCCTTCCTCTTAGCAGAGGCCTATGAGAATCAACCTGTGTGAAAGTAGACTCTGGACAGAAAGTGTTTAAAGCACAGAAGTACCATAGAGGACATGGGAGAGCAATGTCTCCATGGAAGGGTTAGGCAGATGCTGCCATTACCTAACCTAATGTCCTCCCTTTATTCTTGTGATGTCCCTGAGTTCAGCTGACCTCCTCAAGGGCTACCACCTGTGTGTTTCAAGAATGGAGCTCCCAGAGCCAGCAGTGGGGAGGCCTGGAAAGGATGAGTGAGTCAGGAAAACCGAAACAAGCCAGGACTAGTTTGCTATTCCACTGTCCACTGATTCCTTCATGAGGTGAGAATCCAGGTCTCTTCCAGAAGAGGAATATACTCCAGCTCCATCCCAATTACCATTCATGTTGTCCAATATCAGCTAGGCTCTCCTGCAGCAAGCAGTTGTTCCCCCCCATAATTAATTCCGTATCTTAATTTCCACAGAAGCTTTTCCAAACCTTCTGTTCCCTCCTCAAGTCTCCCACATATACACCTCTCTTGATCACTGTTAGCTGAGCCTTTATTGAGAAAATGTAGGCCATTCTCTGTGAGCTTCCTCTTTTCCCTTGATCTTCATCTCAAAACTAGATATCACCTCCTACTCTCTCCTTCTTTCTCCATATTCTCTGACACAGAAGTGGCCTTTCTGCCTGCGAAGGCCAGCTTCTTTCCTTGTATACCTCATTCTATCACATCTCAGTTTCTCCAGTAAATTATATCCTCAATCATCTCTCCTCACTCTCTCACAAATCTCCAACCTCTCTTTATCTACTGATTTCTCTGTTTTTTAAAAACAAAAAACAGCTTTTACTAGACTCTACTGTCCCATCAAACTACCTTCTTATAGTTCTCTTCCCTTTCTGTCAAACTCTTTCAAAAATGTTTTTACACCTGCTGCTGCCTCAGTCCTCAGCCCTTTTCAGTCTGGCTTCCAACCTCATTATTCAACTGAAACTACCCTCTCAAAAATCACTAGGTCTCTCTAAATTGCCAAATCTGTGGTCTTTTTTCAACGTCCTCCTTCTTTTTGACCTATCTGCTGCATTTGACACAGTTGACCACCCTCCCCTGGGAGGCTCTCTCCTGTATAGGGTTTCATTACATTATTCTCCTTGCTTCTACTGTCTGACTATCCCTTCAGTCTCCATTGCTAGCCACCTCTCTTCCAAACTTCCCTATTTCTGTTGAAGACACCACCATTCTTCTAGTCCCCCCAGTTTCATAACCTTGACATTATCCACGACCCCTCATTCTCCATCAACTGATATATTTCATCTTTTGCCAAACCTTCTCTTTGTCAGGTCTCTCACAACTGTCTGTCCCAAACATTACTGTCAAAGTAATTTTCCTTAAGCATAGATCTGACCTTTGTACTCAGTCAACCCCAGTACCTTTTGATTGCCTCTAGGATAAAATATCAACTCCTCTGTTTCACTTTGAAAACCCTTCACAACCTGGTTCCAATTAATATTTCAGTATCTTTGAACATTCCTTCTCTTTCTGTTGTTGTTTAGTTGTTTTTCAGTTGTGTTCTACTCTTCTTGACCCCATTTGGGTTTCCTTAGCAAAGACATTGGAATGATTTGCCATTTCCTTCTCCAGTGCATTTTACAGTTGAGGAAACTGAGGAAAACAGTGTTAAGTGACTTGCCCAGGATGATACAACTAGTGTGTGAGTCCAGATTTGAAGTTAGGAAGATCAGGCCCAGTACTCTATCCACTGTGCCACCTGGCAGCCCTTGCCTTCCCACATTCTGCTATGTAACCAAATGGAATTTGTCCCTGTTCCTCACACATGACACTTCATTTCCCATCTCCTCTGCACTGGTCATTCTCCTATTCCTGGAAAGCACTACCTCCTGGCCTTCAGCTTACAAAGTCTCTTCCTTTAAAGCCCTATGTGACCCCTCCTTCCCAATTGCTGCTAATCCTCTTCCTCCTCCCAAACTACTTCATAGTTAATTGGCACATTGTAGGCAGTTAATAAATGTTTGTTGATTGATTCAAAAATTCAGATAATTTGGAGGATTCTTATTTTCTAAATGTTAAGAGGGAAAAGACAACTTATAAGGGAAAAAGCATCAAGATATGATGGAATTAAAAGAGATAAACAACTGCTGAATTAAAACTGAGTGTGCATACTCGAAGGAATGGGCCTTCATTTGCCAGTCTTCCTCTCCCACCACCCCATCTTACACTAGTACTCTCCCATGCCTAGCACATAGTAGTATATGATTGTTGATTAACTGAGAAAATTCAGATAATTTGGAAGATTCTTGTTTTCTGAATAAGGAAGAAAAGACAGCTTGTAGGAGGGAAAGCAGTGAAATATACCAGAATTATTAACAATAAATGAACAATAAGAAGGAAGTTTTATATATATTATCTCATTTGACTCTCCAAATAACCTTGTAAGCTATAATAATAACAATAATAATAGTTAGGATTTAGATAGCATTTTAAGGTTTACCAAGCACTTTCCAAATATTATCTTACTTGTCTTCACAACAACTCTGGGAGGTAAGTGAGGAATCTATGGAATGTATTATAGATGAGGAAAGCTGAAGCTGAGACAGGTTAAGTGCTTTGCCCAGGGTCGCAGAACTAGTATCTGAAGCCAGATTTGAACGCAGGTCTTCCTGACTCCAGGTGCAAACTGGCAGTCATAAAAGTGAAGTGACTTGTCCAGGTAAAATGGCTTATAAGTTGTCAGGACAGTTCTCTAAATCATCCTACTCCTGCTGCAGACCTCCTCCCACTATTCAGTTTTAGTTGAAATGGTAAGATTGAGACACAGGAGCAGAGTGAAAGACACTAAGAGATGGAGGCAGAGAATCTAATGGATAAAGCACTGACCTGGGTGTTATGGGAGTCCTGGTTCGAATTTTTGTTTCTGCCATTAACTGGTTATGTAACCTTAGGCAAGTGACTTAACTTAAGTAAGTCACTTAACTCTTCTGGATCCCCTCTATGAAATCAGGGAATGTAGTAGATGACCTCTAAGGTTCCTGCCAAATCCGGTGGTTTATGACCCATTGATCCTATACCTGTGTTTTGAACAGTTCAGCGAAACTCTTGTAGGCATCCGAAGATGTGTTTTCTAAGTCCTTTGTAAATTCCATATTGGTCACAGTCACTTTCACTCCCACGGTAGCATTGACCTCTTCTGGAGGAGTTCCTGGTGGAAATGGACTTGATTATGAGCATACAAATCATTCAGAATGAACCCTCTCTATCCCCCGTGCTTTGTGACCTTCCACCTTGTCCCTGAGGATTGTTCGGGTACCTTTCGTCCCCTTTCACTCCCCTATACTCACCTCAGCTGTTGATGAAGCTATGCTCAGAGCCCTGAGACCCAGAGATGTTTGGCTTACCTATGGGAAGGCTGTCTGAAACCAATTCACACTTAGTGCCATAGAAGAGGACACTGCAGATGCATTTGATTCCATCCCAGGTGCCCCCATTCTCGCACACAATGTCCTTCTCCTCACATTGCTCTCCATTGTAACCAGTGGGACAGATGCAAGAGTTTCCACTCCAACTACCTCCATTTAAGCATATCACTGAAAGAAGTAAGATACTCAATGCAGTATGGAGAGGGGGAAGTGGAGGAAAGAAAGTGGTAGGAGAACAAAGCAAAAGGTTTGGGAGAGAAAAAAATGAGTTTTTAGGGGAAGAGAAAAGTGAAGAGACCAGAGAAAGAGATGCAGACTGTGTGAGACTTCGACATGGAGAGAGAGGGTCAAAGATATTTTGCCTGGACTCACTCCCATTTCCTTATACTCACTTTATACTTTCCCAGAATCACTTTCCAGTGATTCTGAACCCCTAGCTATTGATGTACACATCACCATCTCCCCATCCCTTAAACCCCAGATGTGTCTGCTCCTTCCACTGTCCTGAAGAATGCTTCCTTCGTAACTAATAAAGTTCCTTAACCTTAAATTTCTTCCTTTTTCAGTCATCTCTTTTTCTGGACTTATGACACAACTTCCTCCTGATAACACCACTTTCCACCATTTCCAGTACTCACATAAAGAGTCCTCCTCATTTTCTTTCATTCATATATATTCCCTCAGTATCTCCCCCTTTACTCCAGTCTCAGATAAAGAGGTGGTCCTCTTTACCAGAATCAATCCTCTGTCCCCTCCCAACTTCTGTAGCAGATTAGCCCTATCTTCCTCCTCCTCCTCCTTCTCTTCCTTCCTTCCCCCTCACCCCATTCTTTTTCTTAAATCTCCAATGTCTCTTTCCTTGTTATCTTCAAAGAGGCCTTTGTCTCCCTGATCCTTAAAAAACTCTCACTTGATGCTACCATTCCAACTAGCTATTGTCCTGTAATTTTTCTCCCCTTCATGGCTAAACTCTTGGAGCCTCTGCTTCCTCTTGTCTCATGCTCTGCAATCTAGCTTCTGACCTCATGATTCAACTGAAACCATCCTCTCCAGTGTTACCAGTATTCCCCCAAATCTGATGGCCTTTTCTCAACTTTATTTTTCTTAACATTTTTTGTAGCATTTGACACTGTTGGTCACTCTCTCCTGGGTTTTCATGATGCTGTTCTGTTAGACCACTGTTCAGTCTGATTTGCTGGCTCTTCTCAGGCTTCATCTTCATCAGTGTTAGGCTCACTAACATGAATGTCCCCCAAGGCATTACAGTAGGCTCTCATCTCTTTTCGCTTTACACCATCTTGATTTCATCAGCTCCTGTGTGTTCAAAAATTATTTCCATAGAGATGATTTGCAAATCTGTATAACCAACTGTACAGCCCCTCAGCTACATGCCTGTTTGACAGCTGCTTTTAGGACCTCTCAAAATAGATGCCCCATAATTATCTCAAACTCAGTATTTCAACACAGAACTCATTATTGTTTCCCCAAAACTCTTTCCTTTTCTAAATGTCTGTATTACCATTGAGGCCCCACCATCTTCCCAGTCACTCAGGCTCAATATATCATCCTTGACTCTTGGCTATTGTACACCCACGTAGCGAATCCCTGGCTAAATCTCGTTTCCACCTTCACTTCATCTCTAACCTAGGTCCTCTTCTCTCCACTCTTACGGTCACAACCCTAGTTGAGGCCTCATCACCTCATGCCTGGAATATTGCAATAGCCTTTTGACTGTTGTCCCTACCTCAAATTTCTCACCATCCCAATCCATTCTTCTCTCAGCTGCCAAGATAATTTTTCTAAAACACAGATCAGACCTTGTCACCCCTTACTCAGTGAGCTCATAACCTCGAGGATCAAATGTAACCTCTCTGTTTGGCAGTTCAGTCTCTCCATAAACCAGCTCCTTCTTGCCTTTACAGTCTTGTTACACTTACTGCCCTTCACGAACGACAAAATCCACTTATATTGCTGTTCCTGAAAGAGGACACTCCATGTCCCATCTCTATCCCTTTACACTGGTTGTCTGCCATGTCCTGAATGCTGTCCCCCTTCACCTCTGACTCTTAATTCCTCTGACTTCCTTGAAGACTCAGCTCAAATTCTCCTTTTTGCAGGAGGTATTTCCCAGTCCCAGAAGCGGCAAGTACAATCATCCTCTGCCAGATTGCCTGCTGTGAACTATGGCTATATCATATGTATACCTAGTTATATTCACATATTGTGTCCCGCATGAGAATGGAAGCTCCTCCAGAGCAGGGACTATTTTTCCCATTCTTTGTATGCCCCACATAGTGCCAAGGAGATAATAAGGGCTTAAGAATTTCTTGTTGACTGATTGTGTGAAAGAGGTGATGGAGAGGCAAATGAAGAGAAGGAAAAATTGGGAGGGAGAGGTGCAGTCCTTTGGCATCTGGACCAGGAAGAGACAAAAAGGAGGAAAGGACTCCATGAGGCCAGTTCATGCATAGTCACCTACGTTTTAGGAGACATTAAAGCATTAAAGTGCAAGCCTTTGTGGGAATGGAAGGTTGAACCATAACCACTTATGAAGAAATTTATGGAGTTTCATAGAAAAAAGGCCAAGAGCAACAAAAAGGGATTGGAGAATAGGTGAATGTCAGGATCAATGGATATCTACAGGAGGGCATGCCAAGACTAAAGGGAAAAAATAGATAATAATGAGTGATATGTGATGGTTCTAGGCAGTAATAGCGAGAGAGAGCTGGAAGGGAAATGAAGGTGGAGAGGAGGTGGCTCTGCAAATGAAATTATAGCTCTAAAAAGAAAGAGGTAGACAGAAGGATGGCATTAATGAAAGAAAGGACAGAGGGAAAATAGAAACATAGAAGTCAAGGGTCCCAAAGAGGCACTTACATGGTGTGGTAGTTGATGGTGTGGTGACTGGAACAGTTGTGAAAGAAAGAGTGGTGAGAGGTTTTGTGGTGGCAGCCAGTGTGGTCCCTCTAGTGGTGCTGCTTGGCCTGGTGGTACCCTTAGTTGTTGGGCCAGGTGAATCAGTGGTTGCTGTTGTCAGTGGGGAGGAAGTGAGAGCCAGGGTGGTCCAAAGGGTTGTGCTGTCCTGCTCAGAGTTACTCTGAGGTGTTGGGATGGTCTGAGTGTATCCAGGAAATGCAGTGGCTATTGCTGAGGTTCCTGGGAAACTCGTGACTGCTTCTGTTGTCCCTAGGGTGGAGGTGATAGCCTGGGTTGTCACAGTGATAGTACTCTCAGACTGAGTGGTACTCTGATCTGTGTGGCTGGTTGAAGTGGAGGCAGGGGAAGGTGTCACTGTCCTGAGGTCCCTGGAAAATAGAGTCAGCTGCTGTTGTCCCTGGGTATTGGTGATAGCCTGGGTTGTCAGAGTCGTAATACTTTCAGACTGGGTGGTACTGCGATCTGTGGGGCTGATGGAGGTGGAACTAGGGAAGTTATGGCTATTGCTGAGGTCCCTGGGAAAGTAGTAGGAGCTGCTGTTGTCCCCGGGGTGGAGGTGACAGCCTCGGTCATCAGAGTCGTTGTGCTGTCAGTCTTCGATGTACTGTGATCTGTGGGGCTGGTGGAGGTGGAACCAGGGGAAGTTGTGGCTGTTGCTGAGGTCCCTGGGAAAGTAGTAGGAGCTGCTGTTGTCCCCGGGGTGGAGGTGACAGCCTCGGTCATCAGAGTCGTTGTGGTGTCAGAGTTGCTTGTACTCTGATCTGTGGGAGTGGTGGAGGTGGAACCAGGGTAAGTTGTGGCTGTTGCTGATGTTCCTGGGAAAGCAGAGGCAGCTGCTGTTGTCCCTGCAGTAGTGGTGATAGCCTGGGTTGTCATAGTTATAGTAGTATCAGAATGAGTAGTACTCTGATCTGTGGGGCTGGTGGAGGTGGAACCTGCAGAACTTGTGGCTGTTGCTGAGGTCCCTTGGAAAGTAGTAGGAGCTGCTGTTGTCCCTAGTGTGGAGGTGATAGCCTGAGTTATCAGAGACGTTGTGCTGTCAGTCTTCGTTGTACTGTGATCTGTGGGCTGGTGAAGGTGGAACCAGGAGAAGTTGTGTCTGTTGTTGAGATCCCTGGGAAAGTAGAGGCATCTGCTGTTGTCCCCTGGGTATTGGTGACGCCTGGGTTGTCACAGTGGTAGTACTCTCAGACTGAGTGGTACTCTGATCAGTGGGGCTGGTTGAGGTGTAGGCAAGAGAAGATGGGGCTGTTGCTGAGGTGTCTGGTAAAGGAATAGCAGATGTTATTGTCCCTGGGTGGAGATGATAGCCTGGGTTATCAGCGAAGTTGTGCTGTCAGACTTGGTGGTACTCTGATCTGTGCTGCTGGTGGAGGTGGAGGCAAGGGAATATGCTGCTGTTGTTGAGGTCCCTGGGAATGTAGATGCAACGGCTGTTGTCCACTGGGTATTAGTGACAGCCTGGGTTGTCAGAGTCGTAGTACTCTCAGACTGGGTGGTAGTCTGGTTTCTGGTGCTGGTAGAGGTGGAGCCAGGGAAGTTGTGGCTATTGGTGAGGTCCGTGGGAAAGTAGTAGGAGCTGCTGTTGTCCCCGGGGTGGAGGTGACAGCCTCGGTCATCAGAGTCGTTGTGCTGTCAGAGTTGGTTGTACTCTTATGAGTGGGGCTGGTGGAGGTGGAACCGGGGGAAGTTGTGGCTGTTGCTGAGGTCGCTTGGAAAGTGGAGGCAGCTGCTGTTGTCCCTTTGGTAGGGGTGACACCCAGGGTTGTCACAGTCGTAGTACTTTCAGACTGGGTGGTAGTCTGACCTCCAGGACTGGTGGAGGTGGAGCTAGGGGAAGTTGTGGCTGTTGCTGCAGTGCCTGGGAAAGTAGAGGCAGCTGCTGTGGTCCCTTCTGTAGCGGTGACAGCCTGGGTTCTGACAGTCATAGTACTTTCAAACTGAGTGGTACTCTCATCTTTGGGCTGGTAGAGGTGTGACTAGGGGAAGTTGTGGCTTTTGATGAGGTCCCTGGGAAAGTAGTAGTAGCAGCTGCTGTTGTCCCTTGGGTATTAGCAAGAGCCTGGGTTGTCAGAGTTGTAGTACTGTGAAAGTGGGTGGTAGTCTGAGTTGTGGGGCTGGTTAAGGTGTAGGCAAGGGTAGATGGGGCTGTTGCTGAGATGCCTGGTAAAGTAGTAGCAGCTGCTATTGTCCCTGTGGTGGAGATGATTGCCTGGGTTATCAGAGAAGTT